CAAAACTGAGAGACCAGAGATGGGTTTTGGGCTGAATCTCAGTGTTTTGAAAATCTTTATGGACACAAGGTACCTGGTGACTTCTAGAGATAAATTTGGGCACAAGGAACCTCAAACTCAACATGTTCACACCTTGTTTATCCTCCCAAAAAAGGATTTCTTACTCCAAAACTTGGCCAGATGGAGGAGGAGGCTGCAAGACAGAGGAATGTAGGAACGCAGCCAGCTGGGATGAATAGTGGTTCAGCCTCAGTGGCATATACAGGAGGCATCAACCTGAGACCATGGGAAACAGGATACTGAAAGAGAGATATCTGGTCAGGTCATGGCAAGAAGAGTGTGGTCATAAGAATTAGTATGTTGATGGTATGTTGTAGGAATATAAAAAGGTAAAAGACTTTAGAAAGTGCAAAAAGGCCCCAGAAAGTAGACATAAAGCTAAGAAAGGCTGGGAAATTTCTAAACCTTCTCATGGGAAGCTAGGAAGTTAAGAACCAAGTGAATACATTTATATTTATCATACGGAACAAGAAAGAACAAGAACTTATTGATAGTTCAGGATGTGAAAAGTCCTAGATATATGCTTTCCAAAGATAGAAAAAGTTTCAATCTTAAATAATTTATTACTGTGTATTGTTTGAGATTCATAGCAGTCCTTTTGTTAATGTTAAACCCACGTGGGTCCTTTTCTTATTGGTTAGAGTATAATGACTTTACACTTTTTCTTTTACGCTATTGGTTCAAAGAATAAGTAGAAAAAGGCTTTGCATAAGCTGCCATCTCATCTCTGATCTGGATTTGCATGGATGTTGTTGTTTCTCTGTGTCTCTTGCTTTTTGCTTGTATGATACAGACAGATAATAAATCCTAAGTCAGTCAGGGTCCCATCTCGTTTGTGAGACACGGACCGATCCGGCAGAGTGTGTTAATAGAACTATTCTATATTAGGTCATGTTTCTGGTTGTTGTTCTCGGGTGGTTCGGAACCCGTCACATATAAGGTAATGTTCCAAGTTTGTGTTCCTGATTGGACCCCTGCTCTCAGGATACCCCTATATATTGTTATGCTTGTCACGCCCCCCTGTCATTTGATCTTGCCCCTCAGATCGTGCAGTTTCTGTGCTTGTTATTTTGCTATTTTGCTGTTCTCTATTTTTCAGGCAAGTCCATTGTTCCCATTCTTCTATTTTGCCACATTCCCCCCAGATGGACTGGACTCGGGGTTGCAGCAAGCCAGACTGCGATAGAGGAAGATGCCCCAGGACATGCAGGCAGGTCAGGAGAAAGTCACTGCTCCTTTTCCCCTGCTCTAACTTTTCACTGAAAACTGCCCTGGGCTGCAGGACAACGCCTGCTGACACTGTTCTGCCAGGGATGGATTTGGGAATCTCCTTCCCTTTCCCTCTGCCATGGAGGAAAACCCCATCCTCTCCTTGTCCTTCCTCCCCCAGGCACTGAGCTGCAGACAGAGACCAGGGAGAAAAATCCCCACAGCAGAACCTCGTGGAAGAGGCAGTTTTGAGTGGCTCCACAGCGCAGGAGTCCAAAGGAGAGGAAAAGCCCCAGAGATGCCACATGAGGAGCGCCTGCAAACCCAGCCCAGGGTACTTTGAGGAGGAAAGACCTGTGCCAGGAAGGTGGCCAGAACTTTGGCCAGAGCTCTGACCTCGGGGTCCAGCAGCATATTCACACCAAAGAGAAACCCTACAAGTGCTTCTTGGAATGTAGGAAGAGCTTCAGCAACAGTTCAGACCTCCTCATTCACCAGTGGGTGCACATGGGGAAATGGCCTTATGAGTGTGAGGAATGTGGGAAGAGCTTCACTCAGAGCTCCATCCTGATCTGCCAACAGAAGATCCACACAGTGAAACTGCCCTATAGGTGTTTGGAATGTGGGAAGAGCTTCAGTGACCCCTTCCACCTCATCTGCCACCAGAAGGTCCATACTGGGGAATGGCCCTGTGAGTGTCCCAAGTGTGGGAAGAGCTTCAACTAGAGCTCCCACCTTATCACCCAGAGTGATGCCTTGACCTCACACCAGTGGTCCCACTTGTAAGGGAAGCCCTGCAAGTGCCCTGACTGCAGGAAGAGCTTTGTCCAACTGTAACACTCATCAGAGGACAAATATTGGATGATCCACACGACCCACATTGGGCAGAGAACCAGCGGTCCACAACAGAAAAAGATATGTTGACCAATATTCCCAGTGAACCACATAGGGCAGAGACCTGCTAACCCACGTTCCAAGTGATCCACACTGGAAGACATCTGGCTGGTGGTCTCCACACCCTCCTTGTTCCCCACAGGCATCTTGATGAATACAGGGGAAGGAACATCCATTAGAATGCAGACCAACATTGGAAATTCATTGGGAAGAGCAGTTTTGTTGACTTTAGACCCCAAAAAATCTCACCAGCGACCACCACTCATTTCTTCAGGAAGCATCAAGCAAAACCGGATGGTCTTTGAGGTCTTTTGCAACTACGAGGTCTTTTTAATTCCATTATTATAATTCTCTATGGCCCACAGGTGTCTTCCACAGACAAGTGGTGATGGATTGGTGCAAAGACCTAACTATTCAAATCAAAGGCTCCAAAAAGAGCTCTTCCTACCCAAACAACACAGCATCAGAGATACTCACATGACACCGACATGTAAATCCTTCTATTTGGGCCTTTGTTTTCTTTTGAGCCATTTTCATCTCTTACAAACAGATGACATTTGGGTTAAAATAAAGTAATTAAACAAAGATCTCCAAACCCCAACTATTTCAGTTTGATTTCAATGAGAATTTGGGATTTAGGGGGATATTCAGGAGGATTTGGGGATATTTGTGGAGATTTAGGGGAGTTTTCCTCAAAAATAGGGCAGCTCATGCCAGGTGATTGGGGTCATGATCTTGTAGTTGTGCCAATAGTATGTGTCCCTGTACTGCAGTACCTGAGCCCATCTCTTCTCCAGTAATTCCAGCTGGGTGTTCCAGTATTGAGCCTGGGTGTTCCCATATGGAGTGTCCCCAAAAAGTGCCCAAATCACTGCTGAAGTGCTGGAGCTGCTTTAGGTTATAGATGTTCTTGTCCATGAACCTCACCCACTCAGGGCCGTTCAGGAAGTAACACTGGACTTTTCCCATCCACAGGAACACCATTGTGTGGCCAAGGAGGCAAGCTGGAGGAGGCACCCCCCTACCCCCACCACCTTACAGCAGGTTGGAAGCTCAGGGGGCCACTCTGGACCTCCCTTTCCAGCGCCCACTCTGCCACACAGCCACTCCAGCACAGCTGCTGTGTGAGGGGAAGCCCCCATTTGCTCTCGAGGGATGGAAAGGGAGATTGGGGCCCCTCCCCGTGTGGACTGCAGGAATTGAGATAAGGACCAGGAGGGATTGCTCCCCAAACACTGTCACAGGCAAAACAGAGTCACCCCGGGGAAAGGACCTCAATTTATTACCAACCAAAACAGAGCAGGATAATGAGAAAGAGAAGAAAACTTAAAAACTCCTTCCCCCAGCCTTCCCCCTTTCCCAGGCTCTCCCTCCTCCCTCCAGCAGCACGGGGAGATGGGAATGGGTGTCGTGGTCAGTTCATAGCACCTTGTTCCTGCTGCTGCCCAGGAAGAGAAGCTGGGACTCCTTCCTCTGCCCCAGGGTGGGTCCTCACAGGGCCTCAGGTCCTTCCAGCAAAGCTGCTCCAGCGTGGGCTCCTCTGCCTAGGGATCCACAGAGCCCTGCATGGAGGCGACCGGGCCTGCATGGGCTTTCCATGGGCTCACATCCTTTTCTGGCATCCCCCTGTTCCAGTGTGGGCTCCTGCAGGGGCTGCAGGAGAATCCCAGCTCCGGCACTTGGAGCACTCCTGCCCCTCCTGCACTGCCCTGCGTGTCTGCAGAGCTGCTCCTTTCACGTGTTCCTACTCTGCACCAGAACTTTTTCTTTCTTGAATCCATTATCCTTGAGGTGTCACTGCGATCTCTGATGAACTTGGTGTTGGCAACTTGTGGGTCCATTCAGGAGCTGGTGCTGGCTTTGCTGGACACAGGGAAATTTCTGACAGCTTCTCAGAAAAGCCACCCCTGTAGCCCTCTACTTCCAAAACCTGGCCACACAAACGCAGGACACAAACCACCTGGAACATGGAACAGCAGGTCTTGGCCCAGTGAGGGTCACTGTGAATCATCCAGTGTGGGTCCTCTGATGGGTGATGAAGTTGGAGCAGCAGACAAAGCTCTTCCCAAAGTCGGGGCATCTGCAGGGTGTTGCAGGGTGTCCACAATGAGCCTCTGTGAGTGACCTGGACTCCCAGAGCCCAGAGCAGGCTTGCTTAACCTGCTGACAAACAAGGCCAGAGATGGGTCTTTGTGTGGCTCTCTAAACGTCATTTATTGTGATGAAGAGGGTCCAGGGACAGAGACAAAATGGGGCTGAGAACACAAGGTTTCATATGGGGCGAAAAGAGGTGGATACGAGGGTCAAGGGCCAATGGGAACTGAGTAAAGTGACACAGAGGAGGGGCAGCCAAGCAGGGAAACAATGAGATAACAGAGGTGGGGCACTGCAGTAAACTGGGACCAACAGGGGACAAGAGAGGGGAGAACATTCTAGGGGGAGTACCTATAAGGAAAAAACAGCAGTTGAACTGGGTGATACCAATAAAAGCTGGTGCATTAACATGAGCCTGCAAATGCCCATGAGTGAGAGTGGCAAGGGCTGGTCCTGGACAGTCAGGACGGACGAAGATGAGAAATCTCTGAAGTCAGGTCTTAGGATGACGCTGTTGAGGCAGGACAGGAATGAAGAGACTGAGTCAGAAGGTTGAGAGAGTGAAACTCTGATTTATTTCAAAATGCATCGCTCTTTATACAGAGCTTTGTCCAGGCCAAATCCATTGGTCCTGAAGTGAAAACAAGCCACACCATTGGTTCAGAGTGCATGACACACAGTGATAGAACTTTATAGCTATAAACAATGTGAACAACAAGGAGATACAACTCTTATTTACATTCTTTTCCAACAGGTTCCCAGGCTTCTGCCTGGTTAGAAACTCTCCATTTCCCTCTTTGACTGAATCTGAGACCGACATTAGGATATACAGTGTATTGTGGGGTCCTGCCAGCTGCAGCTCGAAGCAGGCCCCAAGGAGTGGGGGTAGGGCAAGATAGCGAGAGAGAGTTCCAAGAGAGGGTCCAAGAGGGCAGAGAGAAGGGGAGGGAGAGAGTGCAGGAGAAGGGGCAGGAGAAGGGGCTCTGGTCTCCTGGGTACACCTTATCAAGGAGGCTTGAGAGTGGGTGCGGAGTAATACTTTGGACCAATGGGATTACAGATACATGATACTTCAGGTGAGGGTTACAGGTGGGGGATAAACTATTCATTTTTGAGGGATGAATCAGAACACTTTATCTGACCCTTGGATCTGTCTGTGGGTCAAAAAAGGGAGCTACATTCTACCAGCTACACCACTGTCCACCAGTGCTTAGACACCAAGGTCCAAAATCTCAAAGCTCGTTCTCATCTCAGTTTCACTTACAGTCTCTATATTTTCCAAATCCTTTGCTAAGCAATCATATTCATAAGGCTTTCCCATTTAATCTTCTCCAACAAGTGAGACCATTTTATTCAAAGAGGTGTCTTTCTTTGATCCTGGTGATTACAGCTCAGTGGTAGCCCCTCGAGCCTCCACAGCAGGGCTTCCTTTACAAGTGGGACTGTTGGTGTCGGGCCAAGCCAGAGCTGGAGGAGAAGCTCTTCCCACACTCGGGACATTCATAGGGCTTCTCCCCGGTGTGGATGCGCCGGTGCAGGGTCAGGTGGAAGTTGCGTTTGAAGCCCTTCCTGCAGTCGGGGCAGCGGAAGGGCCTCTCATCCGTGTGAATCCGTTGATGCAGAAGGAGATGGGAGCTGGTCCGAAACCTCTTTGCACACTCAGGACACTCGTAGGGCCGTTCTCCACTGTGGATCTTCTGGTGCTGGATCAAGTCAGAGCTGATGCTGAAGCTCTTCCCACACTCCCCACACTCAAAGGGCCGTTCCCTGGAGTGCAGGCGCTGGTGGGTGAGGAGGTTGGAGCGGTCACTGAAGCTTTTCCCACATTCCTTGCACTTGTAGGGCCGTTCCCCCGTGTGAATTACCTGATGGCGGATCAGACAAGAGCTCCGGCTAAAGCTCTTCCCACATTCCAAGCACTCATAGGGGCGTTCCCCTGTGTGGATCATCTGGTGGCGGAGGAGGTGGAAGCTCCGGCTGAAGCTCTTCCCACATTCCAAACATTTGTGGGACTTCTCCCCATTGTGAGGCTTCTTCACCAGCTCCGAGTTCCAGCTGAAGCTCTGGCCACCTCCCTGGCACAGGGGGTCTCTTTCCTCCTTGAAGCACTCTGGGCTGGGTTTGCAGCTCCTCCTCGTGCGGGATCTCTGGGGCTTCTCTTCCCCATGGGATTCCTGTGCTGTGGAAGCGCTCAGAACGGCCTCTTCCGCAATGTTCTGCCAGGAGGATTGCTCCTCCTTGATCGCTGCCTCCAGCTCATTGCCTGGGGGAGGAAGGACAAGGAGAGGATGGGATTTGCCTCCGTGCCAGAGGGAAGGGCAAGGAGATCCCCCCAGAGCGTCCCCGGCAGGAGGGCACCGGCAGCGGGGCTGTCCTGCAGCCGAGGCGTGCTGGGCTGGGAGGTGGAGCAGGAGAGAGGGGGAAAGGGGCACTGACTTCCTCCTCACCTGCCTCGGTGTCCTGGAGTATCTTCCTCTTCCTCACAGCCTCCTCCTCCATTCAGCCAAGCTTTAGGAATGACAAACCCTGGGTTTGGGGGAAAGCAACGTGTGAGTGTGCTGAACTGGAGGTTCCTCCTGCCCAAGTCCATTTCTAGAAATCACCGGGCATCTTGTGTCCATGAAAACCTCCAAAACACCATGAACCAGAAGAAAGACCTTTCCAAAATATTAAGATTCAGCAAAGGAGCCCTCCAAGATTCCCCCCTCGCTAGTCTCTCCCTTTTAAGGTCCTGGAGGTCTTCCCTCTCCTGGGTCCCGCTTAGGCTTGCTGGAAGTTTCAGAGGTCCTAGGGGTCCCTTCTCCTCTCAGTCTCTGTTTCGACTGCTGGGGGTCCCAGGGTTCCCACTTTTCAGGCTCGCCTAACCCCAGAATGCCGCGGACGTCTCCCCTCCCAGTCCCCCGTTTCAGGGTCCAGGGGATCCTGCCCTCCCCGTTAACTCTGTGCTTCCTCCTTTCCAGTCCGCCGGGGATATTCCAAACCGGCATCGCCCCTCTCTGGTCTCCCACGCCAGGGGCAGCCAGAACCGATGTCCCTTAACCCCTCCGTGTGGCGTGCGGGATCCCGCATCCTCCCCGCAGTATCCTGGGCTCTGCCGACAGGCACGGCCGGGATCCCCCCCGAAAAAAACACCACCCGGGGACACCCAAGAGATCTGGGGCAAGTTCTCCCTGCCGGTCACCTGTGGGATGCGGCGGGGCAGGTGCTCCACGGGCCGGGAGGGCTGCGGACACAGGGCGCGGTGGAGACGCGAATTTCCTCTTCTTCCTCTTCTGCTTCCTTCTACGGTTCTTCTCCTTTGGGAAGACCAGGCAGCGGCAGGAGCTGGCCTCCCGAGCGAGAGATAAACCCAAGGCAGGAACACGAATGAAGGCCGCTCTACCTCCTCCTTTTCCTGCTTCTCCTCCTTTTCCGGCGCCTCCTCTTCCTCTCCCCGCCCGCTGCCCTCAGCTCCCCGCGGTCCGCCCCATCCGCCCGGCCGGGGACGGAGGAGGGGAGCGGTGAGACCCCCGAACGGAGCGGGGGGAACCCGAACGGAGCGGGGGAAACCCGAACGGAACGGGGGGACCCCGAACGGAGCGGCGAGACCCCCGAACGGAGCGGCGGGACCCGAACGGAGCGGGGGAACCCGAACGGAGCGGGGGAACCCGAACGGAGCGGGGGGACAACGGAGCGGGGGGACAACGGAGCGGTGAGACCCCCGAACAGAGCGGGGAGACCCCCGAACGGAGCGGTGAGACCCCCGAACGGAGCGGGGGAACCCGAACGGAGCGGGGGAACCCGAACGGAGCGGGGGAACCCGAACGGAGCGGTGAGACCCCGAACGGAGCGGGGGAACCCGAACGGAGCGGGGAGACGCCGAACAGAGCGGGGAGACCCCCGAACGGAGCGGGGGGAACCCGAACGGAGCGGGGGGACCCCCGAACGGAGCGGGGGGACCCCGAACGGAGCGGGGGAACCCGAACGGAGCGGGAGGGTCAGCCCGAGCCGAGACGGGGTCTGGGGGGACGGTGCGGAAGGAATGGCAGAGGGAAGATGACGGAGGTGGCACAGCGGGTGAGCGCTTCCCAAAGGGGGTCCCTTCGTGTCTCCCTTACGTATTCCCTGGAGCGCTTCCCGGCAGCTCTGGGAAGGCGGATCCTCGCTGGAGGGCTCCTGAGGGGCTCCCCCCAGCCAGCAGCCGGAGCTGCGGTGGCCGTGGGCAGAGGGGAGTGGGAAGGGGGGTCTGGCATGGCCCCCTGAGCTGCCAGCTGGAAGTAGCTGTGGTGGGGGGCATGCCATGACCTGTGTCCCTGCCCACAGAGGGGGTTCCAGCAGACGGGAAAGGCCAAGTTGCTGAAACAAAAGATTTTCCAGAGATCACTTGAACTAACAAAATGAATGTATCAAAAATGAATGTATCAAAAATGAATGTATCAAAAATGAATGTATAAAAAAAGAATGTATCAAAAATGAATAAATCAAAAATGAATGTATCATGTTTGTAGAATCATGTGTTGAATTTTAAGAAACCTCTGCACAGAAAGGCATAGGAAAGAAAAACAAAGATCTCTAAAGCTTCTTGCAAAAAGACAAATACTGGAAAGGACCAGGAATGCCAAGACTTCAGACAAGGAAGCCCTCTGTCTCCAACATGTCAAGGATGATGAACTTATCCAGATAGGAGAGCAAAGGACCAAAAGCACAAGCGCGCAGGAGAAGAGTTCAAAAGTTCAATGCAGAGGAAGAGGATGATCTGAAGCTCAAAGACCACCAGGGACCCCCATAAAAGCCCCCACAAAAAACCACGCATGCCCAGAAGGGCATGGACCTATTTAGCACGAGAAGCGAAGACAGGCGGGGCCAGGGGTTGAATATGCATAGAAAAGTTGTGTAATGTATTGCATATGGAACACCTTTGTGAATAAAGTCAGGGGGCAAACTTCAGCTCGGGGCACAAGATTTCGGAGAGTTATCTCACTTGTGCCGGGCGCTGTCATACATACCCACTTCATAACTACATCGAGTTGTGGAGTCTATTTATTTATTCTGCATATCGCTTCATTGCCACCTCCAGAATGGCATTCTGCAGTGGAGTTGGACAGGAACAGCTGGCGCACTCCGCTGGGAAGCCGCTCTGCATCATCCTCTGGTGATTCTCGTCTACCTCTCACCCAGCTCCAGGCCCTGGAAATTCTCTTCTTCTGTCTGCATTCATCACTCACCAGCACCGGCACACGGGGAATAGCCTTACAAGTGTGAAGAATGTGGGAAGAGGGTTCAGAGCATCTCAGAACTCATGAAACATCAGTGGACACTCTCGGGAAAATATCTTCCCATCCCCCCCCTCCTTTCAGGCTACACCATGATCTGAGAAATACTTGTTTAGGCCTCAGCCTTGACAAACAGCCCTTGGCTCAACTCCTCTTGAGTTTATCACCAACATCGTCTGTTCTAGGAACTGGTGCTGTACAACAAGCTCCAACAGCCTTGGAAAGTTTTTTTTGTTTTTTTTTTTTTTTTTTGCCTGACTAGCATCCCAAATGGGATCATATTTTAGTTCTCAACCTTTCCCAGAAAGTCACCAACCTGAGCTGCGGCTAGGATGGAAAACGTCTGTAACTAAAGCCCATCCCATCCCTATGAACAGCAGCCCTGAGTGAGACCCTTGGGCTCCTGGGCCGCAGCAGCTGCCACAGCAGCCGGGAACTCTCCCTTTTGCTGCCCTCAGGCTATCCCTGAATGGTCCTGGGCTAAGCCCACCCACTCCTCAAGGCTCCACCCTGCACCTGGTGGGAAGATGCAAAGGCATCTGAAGGGAGAATTCCACTGGATTCCACGGGAATTTCCCACAGGGACCTCGTACAGACTCCTCCTGTCCATGTGTGTGTGACACTGAATATGCCATAGGAAGGAGATTTGCCTCTGTGAAAAAATGCATATTTTATGATTGGCTTTTTGCAAATATTAAATTGAATACTATATGTATGATGTTATTTTGATTAGAAGTGCTATATTAACATTTTAATAGTACGGTAAATGTAGTTTAGTAGTTAAAATGAAGCTTTAATAGTTAAAATAGAGATTGAGAGGCAAGATGTTTTCTATTGCCATCTGTGTAGCAGTTGACTCTGGGCAGTTTTCCTTATCTCCTGGTAATGGGCCCATCAGTATCTCCTGCATGACTCAAAGATAATTCCCTCCAGAGCCATTTCTGTTTAACAGGTGATCAAGGACTCACCCCTGACTCAGAATGACATCAGCCCACGGTGAGATGCTCCGCTCAGGGGCGAGGAGCTAAGTATGCCCACCTAGATCTATCCTGGGATTTCTAGACAGAGCAGCAGCTTTCCCACAGGTTTCCAAGAGGACACAGCTGGGGTTTTCCACTTGGCCCACTACACCTGTTCTACAGGACCACTGCACAAACAGAAACCACATCTGCCACTCCAGGAGGACTGCAGCCACTCCAATTTGGACTGCTACCAACACGCTGGCCAGAGGGGTGTCAGGTTGTATTCTGACTTTGTCAGTGGTCTTCCTTTTGTATCATTGCATGTATTTTGTTTCTTTTCCCTTTTCCCCAATAAATTGTAACTCTGACTTGTAGTCTCTCACTGGTTTTAAAGCAGAACAAAACTATGTATGTGTTTGTTTTGTTTTTTTTTTTTTTGTAAGGAATGAGATATTAACGTTGAGGTAACAGTCACAGAGCACCTCAATATTCCAGAGAAGAGGAATTTATGACTCTTTTATCAGAAGAAGCTAATTTCTTCAGGCCTTGCTCAGACTCAAAGATGCCGTGGGGATTAAAATAAATAGTTGACATATAGCAGAGAGAGGTTCTTGTTTTAAATAGAATGTATGCATAACCATGAAGTATGTATGAATATGCAACAGTGTATGGTTTTTAAGGGTTATTCCTTTATTCACAAGTCATGCTTTTCGTGACTTAGTGTCCAAGAGCATTCGGACATCCATAAATCTTTGCTTTTTATTGTCTTGTAATTGTCCTAACTCTAAATTTTATTACTCTAAATTGTATTACTATTTTTTTATTATTAAACTTATAAAATTTTAAGAAACCAAGTGATTGGCGTTTTTCACACCTCCATGCCAGAAAAAGGAAGGAGAAGGAAGGAGATCCCCTCAGTCTGTGCCCAGCAGGATGGCATTGGCAGTGGGGCTGTCCTGCAGCCTGGGGCCATGCTGGGCTGGGAGATGGGGCAGGAGAGAGAGGGAAAGGGGGAGTGACTTCCTCCTTATGTGCCTGGGTGTCCCGGAGTATCTTCCTCACAGCCTTCTCCATTCAGCCAAGGCTTGTGAATGACAAATTCTGTTTTGGGTGAAAAAATTAAGGTATGAGCTCATTGGGTTGGGGGTTCCTCCTACACAAATCCATCTCATATGTATCTATATGGTCATCTTGTGTACCTAAAAGCCTCAGAAACATGAAGACTCAGCGTCAAAAACCCTCACAGGAGTTCTGCCTTTCTAGTTGCCCCTTTCTGTTTGAGTTGTTTGATCCCATTCAGGCAGAGCATCCGTGTACAGGACTCCCACGGGATGTCCCCGCTCACTGTCCCGCCTCCAATTTTCCTCATTCTCCCAGTAATTTCCCACCGTCCCTTCAAACTTCAGTTCCCCCTACAGCTCAGTTTCAGGGTGTTCCCAACCTCCTCCCCGGCTCAGTACTGGGAACTCAGACCCTTCACACTCGGTTTGGAAGTGAAGAGATCCTCTTCTCCACCCTCTCACATGCCCTTCCTATCGCACCCCTAATCTCCAGGTTTCCCCAGAACTTGGTTTGGGGCTGCCACATACCTCCCATTAAATCTGGGGGTTTGATGTGCCGCTTTCACTGAGTTTTGTGGATTCCATATCCCTCCCACTCCGTTTATGGGTCCCAGACCAAACTTTCCACCTCTTTCTTATCGCCCTCAGATCCGCAGCCCACCATTCCCCGCTCTGGGTGTGGGGAGGTCCTACCCACCCTTTTCCCATCCAGCCCTCATTGCTTCCCATTGTCCCCCCCGCCCTCCTTTCCCCCCATTCCACCTCCTGGTCACCCGAGAGAGCTCCAGGCCCACAGCTGGGGGTGCTCCCAGCGCCACCAGTGCAGCCCCAGTGCTACCAGTGCCACCAATGTGGCCCCAGTGCTACCAGTGCCACCAATGTGGCCCCAGTGCTACCAGTGCCACCAATGGGGCCCCAGTGCTACCAGTGCCACCAATGGGGCCCCAGCTGTCCCATCCCAGTGTCACCAGTGCAGCCCCAGCTGTCCCATCCCAGTGCCACCAGTGCAGCCCCCGCTGTCCCATCCCAGTGCCACCAGTGCAGCCCCAGCTGTCCCATCCCAGTGCCACCAGCACGGCCCCGCTGTCCCATCCCAGCGCCGGGCGGTGCCGCCAGCCCCAAAGCAGCCGCGCTGTGCAGTGGGGGGGTGCCCAGAGCGGCCCTGGGAGCCCCAGTCCAGACCAGTCCGGACCAGCGCGGGCGGAATCGGCCGTGACCGGGCAGGGCTGGGCCCGGCCTGGGCGCCCCCCAGCTCTCCCCTCCCCAGATTCCCCTGGCGGGGGGCGCTGGGGCCGAGGGGGCTGCAAGTGGGCAGTGCTGGGCGCCGCTGCAGGTCTGCCTGGACACCGGGGAGTCACCACGGGCTGAGCGCTGCCGCAGGGCTGCGGCTGCAGCAGGGGACACACCCTGATCCAGGGGGGATGTCCCGCAATCGGGGGGCCCCCACAAGCCGGTTATAACCCCTCAGCCATCGGAGGAACCATGGGATCACCCCAACCCCCCCAAAATGAGGGCAAGGGGACCCCACAAGCCAGTTACAATCCTGAAAATTGGCAGAAAGCAGCAGGATCCTCTCCAAAATGGGGTCACCTCATCCTACCATAATGAGGGGGCATCACTGCAGCCCCTGAGAAAAGCAGGGAGTCACCTCAGCTCCTGAAAATGAGCAGTATATTCCCAAAAGCCATGTGTAATGCCCCAAAACCAGCAGAAAGCAGCAGAGTCCTCCCCAAAACGGGCTCCTGTACAATTCCCTATGGAGCCCCCCTTCCATGTGCCAGAGCCACATCTCCCCCCTCTCCCACCACCCCCTACTCAGGATTCTGGGTACCCCAAAAACTTGCTCAGGATGGGGTTGTCAAAAAAATACCCTCAGGAATGGGGAACATCCCAAAATCTCTTCAGGAATGGCAGATACCCCAAAACCTCCACAGGTTTGGGGGATACGCTTGGAGACATGGTAACCCCATCCTTAACATCCCCTGTCTTTTACTACAGTATTCCAGATCCCTTCCTGTTGGAAAGGATGGATAAATATAATTATTCACAATAGTACAGCCAGGATGAAAACAATCCCCCCTACTGGCTGGACAATACCCTTACCTACAGAGGGGTCCAAAAGCCAAATGGACTGTTGGATCTCACCCCCCATAATGTATGGTTCACCCCACACCTGTAACCCTCCCCTGAACCATCAAGTGTCTGTGACCCCATTGGCCCAAATCCTGTTCCAGCCCACCTTGAAGCCCCCTGATAAGGAGTCTCTGAGGAGCCAGACGCCCTCTTGGAACTTCCCCTCTCTTGGAACTCCCCTTCTCCTGGAACTCCCCCCTCTTAGATCTTCCCCCCTCTCCTAGAGCACCCTCTCTACCCCTTGTACCCTCCCCCATCACCTCGGGCCCTGCCATGTGCTGTGTCTGGCAGCTCCAACAAGACCTTTCACCATCCCTAATAAACCTGATATTCTAAGAGCAACCAACAGAGATCTCGTCTCCATTCATTGAAGCTGTCCTGGAGCACAGCGCTCCCTACACCTTCCCACCCATCCCAAAATTCATTCCAGCCCCTAACCTGCATCCTACCACCCCCAATCCCAATCCCACCTTTCCCAATCCACATCCCATCCATCCCAAACCCCAAACCCCATCCCAACCCTCCCAATTCACATCCCACCTTTCCCACTCCCCATTCCACCCCTCCTAGGGGTTTTGAGGGCGCTGTGGGATCACATATCTGGAGAGCCATTTTGAGGTGGAATCATGCCCTTAAGAGGTGGGACTGAGCTATTTTAGGTTGGGATTGAGACATTTTCAGTGGGATTGCATCATTTTGATGTAACAGATTGATCCCTCTTGGATTTGGACTGAAAAACAATGGAGAATACTCTCCCACATTTCTCAAATATCCCCCAGAACCCCACTATCTCAGTAAAATGGTGGCAGTTCAGAGGTTTTATTCATTTTTTCATCCCAACCTTAGGTGTTTTTAAGGGAAAACAAAAACTGAAAGAAAATCAAGGCCAAAATAAAAATATAATGTCAGCATCATGTGACTGTCCATGGAGTTGGCTTGGGTGGGTGGAAGAGCCTTTTTTAGAGGGTCTCTACCTCATTGTGTTCAAAATTTCAGTCTTTGCTCCAGTCCATCACCATTTTGCTGTGCAAGGCACCCATAGGCCAGAGAGAATTAGAATAGTGTAATTATTTAGGGTGGAAAAGACCATAAAGATCATCCAGTTATGCTTGACACCAGAGGAAGAAATTATTGGATGGAGCAGATAAGAGTTTTTTGGGCCTAAAGTCAACAAATCCACTCTTCCCAAAGAATTTCCAGCATCAGTCTGTGTCCCAGTGAATGTTTCTACCCCTGTGTTCTTCCAGGTGCCTATGGGGAACCAGGAGGATGTGGAGACCACAAGCCAGATGTCTTCCAGTGTGGATCACCAGGAACATGGGTCATCAGGCCTCTGCCCAGCATGGATCCCCCAATGCTCTTCCCGCAGTTGCAGCACTTGTAGGGCTTCTCTTACCAGTGGGTCCGCTGGTGTGAGGTCAAGGCAGAACTCTGGGTGAAGCTCTTCCCACACTTCAAGCACCTGTAGGGCCTCTCCCCAGTGTGGACACGCCAGTGCTTGACTAGGTCAGAGCTACGGATGAAGCCCTTCCTACAATCCATGCAGCGGAAGGGCCTCTCCTCCGTGTGCATCCGTTGGTGCATGAGGACATCGGAGCTGGTCTGAAACCTCTTCCCACACTGGGGACACTCGTAGGGCCGTTCCCCGGTGTGGACACGCTGGTGGATGACAAGGCTGAAGCTGCGGTTGAAGCTCTTTCCACATTCCGAGCAGCTGTATGGCCGTTCCCCAGTGTGCAGCCGGCGGTGGCTGATGAGATGGGAGCTCTGGATAAAGCCCTTCCCACATTCCAAGCAAACGTGCGGCCGCTCTCCAGTGTGGAAGCGCTGGTGGTATGTGAGGCTGGACCTCTTGCTGAAGCTCTTTCTGCATTCCAAGCACTTGTAGGGGCGTTCCCCTGTGTGAAGGCGCTGGTGGACCAGCAGGTCAGAGCTCTGGCTGAAGCTCTTCCCACATTCCCCACATGTGTAGGGCCGTTCCCCAGTGTGGACCTTCTGGTGGCGGATCAGGTGGGAGCTCCAGCTGAAGCTTTTCCCACACTCCAAGCACTTGTAGGGCTTCTCCCTGTCATGAAGCTGCTCATGGATCACCAGCTCCGAGCTCTGGCTGAAGCTCCGGCTGTCGTCCTGGCACAGGCTGGGTCTTTCCTCCTCAGAGCTCCCTGGGCTGGGTTTGGAGCTGCGCCTCATGGGGGATCTCTCAGGCTTTTCCTCCTTGTTGACTTCCTGCGCAGTGGAGCTGCTTAAAACAGCCACTTCCACAAGATTCTGACATGGGCATTTGTCTTCTCTGGTCTCTGTGTGCAGGTCATTCCCTGGGGGAGGAGGGGAGAAGGAGACAGAAGAAGGAGACAGAAGAAGGAATGACTGAGTCAAAGGAACAAGGAGAGGAGGGATTGAGGAGGAATAGGAAGGAAGAAGGAACAGGAACAGGGAGAGGAAGGAAGTGAGGAAGGCAGAAGAAGGAAGAAGGGGAGGAATGAAAAAGGAGGAGGAAGGCGAAGAAGGAATAAAGAAGGGGAAGAAAGAGAAACGAGAGGAAGGAATGAGGAAAAGGAAGTAAGAGGAAGGAACATGAAGAAAAAGGAGGAAGGAAAGACAGGAAAGAACACAGAAAAGAAGGAAGTAGGAACAAGGAGAGGAAGGAAAAAGAAAAGAGAGGGAGAAACAAGGAGAAGGGAGAAGGAAGGAGGAAGAAAGAAGGAGAGGAAAGAGATCTGCCTCTGTGTCAGAGGAAAGAGGAAGGACATTCCCCCCAAATTCATACCCAACAGGACAGCATTGGCAGCGGGCTTGTCCTGCAGCCAGGGGCAATGCTGGGCTGGGAGATGAGGCAGAAGAGGGAGGGAAAGGGGCAATGATTTCCTCCTCACCTGCCTGGGTGTCCCAGAGCATCTTTCTCTTCCTTGCAGTCTCCTCTTCCATCTGGCCAAAGTTTGGGAATGATAAATCCTGGTTTTGGCGGAAAAAAACAAGATGTGAGTCTGCTGGAGATTCCTCCTGTCCAAGACCATCTCTAGAAGTCACTGGGCATCCTGTCTCTAAAAAAGCTCCCAAAACACTAAGACACAGTCCCCAAAACCCCAAGATTCAGCCACAAACCTCTCTAAAATAGAAAATTCAGCCCAAAAAATTTCAAACGGCCAAGATTTAGCCCAAAACCCAATAAAAATACCAAGATTAATCCCCCAAGAACTTCAAAATACCAAGATTCTGCCAGAGAAATCATATCTGTTTCAAGATGCTGGCCATTCCAGAGTTCCCCCCACCCTGGGTTTCCCACTTTGGCGTTCCCTGAGGGAGCCCTCTCCAACCTATCCCCTTCCCCCGGCGGTTCCCCCTCTCTGGGTCCTCCGTTTCTGCTCCCGAGGATACCCCGTCTCCAGGCTGCTCCCTCTCCCTGCGGCTGGGGATCCCCCAGCTCCGGCATCGCCTCTCCCCGGGTTCCCCCACACCTCGGCTCTTCTGAAGGGCCCCCAAAAGCGGTGTCCCACCCCCGGCAGCACCGGGCGATCACCCCAGGGCGGGACAACAATGGAGCGACCCCGGACGGTCAGAGCAGCCCCGCCGGGAGCCGGCACCGGGACCGCCCAAAAACACCCACCCGCCCAAAAACACCCGCCCAAACACACCCGCCCAAACCCACCCACCCAAAAACACCCGCCCAAAAACACCCGCCCAAAAACACCCACCCACCCAAAAACACCCGCCCAAAAACACCCACCCAAAGACACCCGCCCAAAAACACCCACCCAAAAACAAACACCCACCCAAAACCACCCGCCCAAACACACCCGCCCAAACACACCCGCCCAAAAACACCCGCCCAAACACACCCGCCCAAAAACACCCACCCCCCGGGGACCCTCCGCTGTCCTCGCAAGGGGCATTTCCGGCTCAGTTTTGGATTCTCGGAAGATCCAAAGATCCCCCTCCCAGTAAAACTCTGCCAGGAACCCCCCGTGCTATTTGCGGCGAGCTCCCCCTCCCCCGTCACCTGCGGGACGCTCCCGGGCCGGACCGACGCTCCCGGGCCGGACCGACGCTCCCGGGTCGGACCGATGCTCCCGGGCCGGACCGACGCTCCCGGGCCGGACCGACGCTCCCGGGTCGGACCGATGCTCCCGGGCCGGACCGACGCTCCCGGGTCGGGGGTGCCGCAGTCGCAACGAGTTTACGAGTTACAAAGGAGATTGTGGCTCCTCCTTTTCCTGCCCCTCCTCCTGCCCCTCTTCCCTTCCTCTTCTCCGCCTCCTCTATCCCCCTTCTCCTCCAGTGGCTACTTCTTTTTTTTCTGACTCCTTTCTCTTCCTCGTCGTCTTTTGCGTCCTCATCCCTCTTCTTCTTGTTCATCCCTTCTTCTCCTGCTCTTCCTCCTCCTCCTCCTCCTCCTCCAGGCGCCCTGGCTGTGTGCATAGACCGGGAAAAGAGAGGCTGGAGAGCAGCTGGGGGAATGACCTGGGGGTCCCGATCGTGCCCATGTGGATCTGGGTCAGCAGTGCCCTCGCAGCCAGGAGGGCATCTGTGTGCTGGGTGCATCAGGGCCAGCATGTGCTGGCCTGGGCAGGTGGGATGGCAGGAGGGGTGTCAGAGCTCTCAGCACCTCAGCCAGAGGGGAGCAGGGCAGCCAGGGAGCTCCTTTGGCCTTGGCCAGGCCCGTTCCCCCATGGTGGGGCTGAGTCCTGGCTGAGCTGCAGCTGCTGCTGTGCCCTTGGCAGGGGCTGAGGCCGTGGGGCAGTGCCCAGAGCAGCCTGGCCTGAGCAGAGCTGTGGGGCCAGAGCCGGCTGGGCTGTGCTGGGGAGAGGCCCTTGGTGCTGCCCAGAGCTCAGGGCAGCTGGCAGAGCTTGCAGGGAGCTGGGCTGGGCTGGGAGAGCCTGGCACAGAAACCATCAGTGTCCATCTCAGCCTGGCTGAGCGGGCAGGGGCAGGACTCAGCCCAGGCCTTGTGGGGCAGGGCCAGTGCCTGGGCAAGGCATTGAAAACAGGCAAGAGCCTGAGAGAGGAGGCTGCTCTGTGCCCTTGGGGCATGGACAGAGCAGGGAGAGGCCCAGGACATTTGTCAGCGCCAGCCTCTGTCTGTGCCAGCCCTTGGCAGCCCTGGCTGCTGAGCCCAGCTCTGCCCTGGGCTGAGTTTGGCTGTGGCCCAGCTCCATCCTCCTGCGGGGCTCAGGGCCTGTTCCCGGCCATGGCCAGCCCTGGCCGGCCTCTCTGCTGGCCCAGACACCAGCAGAGCCCGGGGCAGGGCTGTCTGTGCAGCCCCACAGGTGCCACGGGCTCTGCAGGAGCTGGCAGAGGCTGCCCAGCAGGGAGGCCATGGGGCACAGAGCCCCAAGGCTGCCCAGGCCCCATGGCACAGGGGCCGTGCCCAGCCGCAATGCTCCTGTCCTGGGCTGGGCTGCACAGGGGCTGTGGCACCATGGCTGGGCCAGCACAGGGGCTGTGGCACCATGGCTGGGCCAGCACAGGGGCTGTGGCACCATGGCTGGGCCGGCACAGGGGCTGTAGCACCATGGCTGGGCTGCACAGGGGCTGTGGGGACATGTGAAGGGAGCAGGGCTGCCATGTCACAGCACAGCTTACAAACCAGAGCCGTGAAGACATTGGATAACTGCAAGGCCAGCAAAAGACAGGGAATTTCTGTGCATTGTTTGTGCTGTGCAGGGCTGTTTCAGAACAGGGAGGGGGCTTTAACACCAGCAAAGACTGATACTGATGTTGAGGGATAAAATGGCTTCTTTGCCTGAGTCTTTGCTGGAAAGGTCTATGAGGTCTCTGCATTCGGTGAAGGGCTTCAAGGAGGAGGAAAGCATGTATTGGCAGGAACCTTGCTGAGGTGGGGTAGAGGTTAAAAGCAGAAGATTTGGCAAGGAAGAAAAAAATAAGAAAAAGTAATATTTTCACTCAGAGATGAGCTTGCAGCTGAAGGTGCTAATATTCGGTGGGAGAAATTTCACATATTGTGATTGCTTTGGGTTGTTTTCTGTCTGCTTTGAGAAGTGGAATTTCTGCAGAAGACAACAGGATGTTGTCAAAAAGTCCTAAAATGCATTTTTCACAGGTCTAGGCCTCCTGGTGAAAGGGAAGAGAGATAAGAAGCTCGGAGATTGCAAAATCACAGCCTTGTGAAGGAATATGCCTTTGATGGGCCATGTGGTGTGTTATGGCAGGGGAACAGGCTTGGCATGCATGCTTTTTGCCCCTGTTAAGATGGAATAAGCTTAGGACTGTATCTGTCCCCATTTTTTTTAGTGTGGCAATAGAATGAATTTACTCTTTACACTTTAGCTGTGTATTTTGGCTATCTTGGTTAATTGCATACATTCAGTTCACACACTCATTAAACTAATGAAAGAAGGACAAATGCTGGGATCAGCCTCTGCAGTGGCACCAGCTGGAGCTGCCTGGCTGGGAGTATCCCTGTGGGAAAGGACTTGGTGCACAAGGAGCTGGAGGCAGCCATATGCCCTGGCAGCAAGGAAGGGCAGGAGCACCCTGGGCTGTGTGACCAGGAGATTAAGGATGTGGATTATCCAGGTTACTGTGCCTTGGCATTGGTTCCTCAACACAGGAGAGATGTCTGTATGTCTAAGCAGGTTTAGTGAAGGGCCTCCAAGGTGGGGCTGGAGCACCTTGCCAGTGAGGAGGCTGCAGAAGCTGGACTTGGATTAGATCCAGCCACACCCACATTCCCTTCTGAAAAGTTTGGAAAGCCAGGGGGTCCTGGGTAGGTTTTGGAGGTGTTTGGGATAGTTTCTGTACTTTATATTTCAAAATAAGCTTCTCTAATAAACTTTGTTTGAAGCTCCCACTCTGCCCACAATGAGGGAAGCACTGCAAGGGGACACTGGGTCACTGGGGACCAGTGATGAACACTGTGAGCATGGGAGGAACCACTGGGAGAAAGCACTGGGAGAACTGGGAACTCTGTAATGTCTCCCAGTTGCCTCAGTTCAGCTTCCCACTTTGAGTGGGGCTGTGCCTATCCCTGTGGTTTTAGAATATGCCTTCGAGCAGCAGGGGTTTGATTGACAGCTGGCATTTATTGGGGAGAGGAAAAGGGAATGGGGCTGCTGAGGGCACTGCGGGGGTGGATGCTGGAGATCTCTAGGTGTGGGGTTGCTGGGGTTGTCCAAGTGCAGGATGCTGGGTGACAGGGGTTTTGGGGATGGCCATGTGAGGGGCGCTGGGAGTGCTGGGTGTACTGGATATCCAGATGCTGGTGGTTCTGTCGCAGGTGCTGGGAGTGCTGGTGGTGCTGAGTGGGTGCAGCTCCTGTGGTTAGATGGAGATGCTGTTCTCCGTCTCCAGTGGGTTCAGGTAGTTGTATCTCAGCTCAGCCACTTGGTTCCTCTCCTCAATCCGGTCCCGGATCTCCTCCAGCCGCCCTTGGAAGGCCCGGATGAGCCGCCGGGGTTCCGCCTCTGTGAACCACTCTTCTGGGTATTGTCCCAGAAGCCTCTGGAGGGAGACAGCAACATGGACCCTTCAGCTCCAACCCCTTGGTGCTGTTCAGGGGTTCTGTGGCACCCTGGTAGGTGTGGAGCAATAGTGGCTGTCCCCCAAGCTTGGTGACACCAAAGGTGGTGACATCCACCCTTGTGGGCACCTCTTGCAGTTCCTGAGGCCCACACAGCTGTTTGGGGAGGCACATGCGGACTGTGGGGCCATACTCACCCTGTCCTTGAGTTGGGAGCTGAGAAGAATGAGGGCCACCAGGATGTTAGCAGTGGTGGACACCTCAGGAATGGTGTCGAGGAAGTGCTGGAGGAAGGCCCGGCCCTTCTCGCAGGGTGGTGGGTGGCGCATGGAGGACGGGGCGTTGGGGACAAAGGCCCCCAGATCATACTGCAGGGGGAAAGATCACTGCAGAGAACATCCCCCCCCAAAACAGCAATGGGATGGGTAGGGACATCCTCCCAAAACAGCAAGGGGACAGGTGGGAACATTCTTTGGCACAGAGAGGGGGTAGATGGGAACATGTCAGCATGGCAAGGGAGATGGATGGGAACCCTAACCCAGTGGGGACCCATTGGATGGGGACGTAGGGTGAGGACATCCAACATGTAGATAGGATGGATGAGGACATCCTTCTGTTATGTAGAGAGGAATGACATGGACATTGGTGCAGGATGGGGACATCCTTCCTGCACACAGAGGAGTGGGAGGGGGACATGTCCCCAGCATGACTCACAGACACCTGGGGATATCCTTTGGCTCCCTGGCCCATGTCCCACCTGCCCATTGTTGACAGCCGCATGCTGCGCCGAGCAGGTGAACATCACCATGGTGAGGAACTTGATGAGCTCTGCCACTGTCTGCAGTGACGAGGGAATACCTGGGTGGGGTAGGACAACCAAGAGCTTCAGGGACCTGCCTGTTCTTTGCCTCCCCTGGGGACATCCTGTGGCAGCCACAGGTGTGCTACCTGAGGAGGTCCTGCCCAGGAAGCCATTGGTGAAGATGTCCATCACCCAGGCCTGCAACTCGGTGTCCCCGCTCACCGCTGCATCCCCACCATAGTAGAATGTCACAATGCCGGTGACAAAGCTGCCAGAGGATGAGGTGATTGTGAGATCCTGGGGCATGCCAGGACCACCCTATACCCTCCGAAACCAGTCTCACCTCTCAATGGCTTCCCAGAGGCTCAACCCATCATCTCGGTAGTGGTAGTTGGGGACGTCCGACATGCCACGTTGGCGGATGTCATCGGGGAGGCACAGGGATGTGTAGGTCACCTGCTCCAGGCCTCGCTGCACCACCAGCAGCAGCCCCTCATAGGTCACCCCAGAACCCTGGGAGGAGGGCCACCCATGGTTTGGGAGGGCAGGAGGTGCCAGGCTTCAGTGTCCCCCAGTGTTCCCAGTACACCCCAGTACCCCGTACTGTTCCCAGGGTACAAGTACTCCAAGTACACACCCAGTGCCCCCAGCACCCCCATATATCCCAGTGCTCCCCAGTGTCCTCCACACCAGGTTCTCTAATGTTTCTCAGGTCTCTCATGCTTCCCAGTGCCCTCTAGTGCCCCCAGTACACTACAGTGCTCCCCAGCAATTCCAGTACACCCAGTGTTCCCAGTACACGCCAGTACTCCACATTGGTCCCAGTAGCACCCCAGTACCCCCCAGTGTTTCCAATACCCCCAGGAGACCCCAGCACTGCCAAGACTCTAGTGCCCTCCAGTGCCCCAGTGGACTTCAGTAGACCCCCAGTGTCCCCAGTACACCCCTGTGCCTCCCAATACCCCAGAGCATTCAGTGCCCCAGCAGAGCCCAGTGGTCCCAGTCCCCAGGGCTCACCTTGTCAATGAGGCCACCCTGGTTTATGAGGACACTGCGGGCCAAGGTGTTGATGTGCAGTGTGAAGTGGAAGTGGGGCATCAGGAGCTGAGGGAGGAACAAACACCTGGCAGGTGACTTGGGACCCCCTCATGGAGCTGGGGGGCTGGCAGGGGGGCATAACTGCCTTCAGATCTGGGGGTGGGGAGCAGCAGGTAGCCCTGAGGGGGAACTTTACCTTGAAGAAGGGGTGACAGGTGGGCAGGTGGCGCAGGGTGGCGATGGCAAACACCTCCCCAAACAGGTGAGTCCTCAGCAGGTGGGTGAGGAGCTGATGGATGTAGAAGTCAGCGTTGCGCACCCAGGTCTTGGCCAACAGCCAGTCCCACTCGTCATCACTGGGCAGGAAGATGGGGCTGCAGGGTCCTGGTGTTTGGCTGAGCTGTTGGACACCACACAGTGGTCTAGGACCATTGCCACCCTCCTGATAGCAAGTGAGGGTGGGGACACCCTTACCTGGATGGCAATGGGGCGCAGGAGCCCATCGGTGCCTTGGTGAAGCAGGCAGAGCGGGGCCGCTATGTACTGCTGGCGCCCGTAAATGGTGTCGGTTGGGATGTCCTCCAGCAGCTTGTAGTCCACAATGAAAATCCGACCTTCTTGCAGCTCCTTGCCCAGGTCAGTGCCACCTCCCAGTGAGCCAGCGACCATCTCTGGTGTCACTGGGAATTTAAGCGGCAGCGTGGTGCAGCGACGGATGACGATGGGGTTGTTGCCATTGAGGAACTGGGAACCGAAGAAGTCATCTTCTTGCCAGTGCTTGGCCACATACTCAGGGACTAAGGGGATGGATGGTCAGACATCAGCACCCACTTACCCATCCTCCAGGCACATCTTGTGAAGCCTTGAGTGATGCAAGGGGAAGGGCAAGGAACAACACACAAGGTACCCACCAATGTCCCTGCCCTGTGTCCGGGAGAAGATGGTGCGCATCTCATCCAGGCTGTTCCAGGAGCTGTGTCTCAGTAGGAACCCTGACAGAAAGTGGGAGGCCCCTCTACAGGGCAGAGGGGGGACCTCAGCACACTTCTTGCCTTGTCTGGCCCCTTTCCCTACCATCACCCACGTTCTCCATGGCCTCAGGGCACTGCTTACTGGAAGATGAGGAAACCAGTGAAGTTGGTGGCCCTGATGCGGGAGAACTGGATGTTGGAGTCCAACTCAAAGATGGAATCCACGCTGAGGCAACGGGGCCAGCCCTGGGCGTAGTTCTTCCACCTGAGTGGGGGGGAAATGGGAGCAGACATCAGCACCACTGCTGACCAGCCCACCTGAACAAAGAAGATCTTGTTGTCCCCATGTCTCTGCTGTCACCGGTAAGCCTCCTGCCGTGCTGCCAGCTCCCGACGACGATGTTCCTTGAGGATCTGCAGCTTGTCGTCCACCAGCTTCTTCCCTAGAAAGAAGGGAGGTGTCAGAAGTCGGACCTCTGGCCATCAGAGGAGGATGGGGGCAGGAAGGGTCCTACCTGAGCCCTCTCGCACCTCCACCGTGGTGACCCCTTCCAGCCACTGGTAGCAGGGGAAGCGATACAGGGTGCCATTGGGGGCTGTCACCCGGACGTCCTTGCAGAACCAGGCATCCTCCAGGAAGAGCCGCCACTTATGCAGGCGGATGAGGACAATAGGGCCCAAGTCCTGCCCACAGTGCACAGACAGGCTCCTCTCCTGGAGAGGAGGAAATGGCTTTTGGGGTAATGGGCAGATGCCCTGTGGCAGCACTGGGGACATCAGCAGAGAAGGGGCTCAAAGCATCCACACTTGCTTCCATTGCCTCCAGGATCCTTATCCTCCATCATCCTCTCAAAGTCCTTTTTCTCCATCCTCCCAGAACACCATTCCTCCAATCCCCCCAGGACCACTACCCACCATCCTCCCCAGATTTTTTCCTCTAGACCCTGGAACCCCTTTCCTCCATCTCCCTCAAATCCCTTCTCACCATCCCCTTGCATCCCCAGGACAGTCCATGCAGCCCCTCATGTCCCCAGGACAGCTCTGCTACCACCCGTTGTGCCTTTTGTCCCTATCCCCATCCCCACCTTCCCTGGCAGGAACAAGAAGGAGACGGTGGTCTGGCGGCTTTCACCATTGCTGCCCACCAAGGTGATGGAGATGGAGTTGTTGGTCCCAGCTTCCACCATGTCACCTGTTGCCACTGTCACCTTGTAGGTGGCCATAGCAAGCTGCAGTGATCTCCTGGAGATGCCTTCAGAGAAGAGTGAGGGGCTGTGGGGTGCAAGCCTGCTGTTTTGGGTGATTTGTGTGTCGCAACCCCCATGGCCGTTGTGTGAGTGGGTGATGGGTTCTTCCTTCTCAGGGAAGTGTTATCAGATCACCGCTACTGGCCCACGTTGAGCAATCTGATCTCAACTGATGTGGCCATGGGGACATTACCCAAGCTATAGCCCTGGGGATGGCTGTGGGGACATTACCCAAGCGATGGCCCTGTGGGTGGCTGTGGGGACATTACCCAAGTGGTGGCCCCAGGGGTGACCGTGGGCACATTACCCAAGAAACCGTCCCATGTTCCTGGCTATGAGAACATGACCCAAGTGATGGCCCCGGGGGTGGTCTGAGCCAAAGGAGGGGTATTCACTGTGGGCCAGGAGCTTCACGTGCCCCCACCCTGGGTCTCCTCCATCATGAACATCCCCAGCTGCCATTGACAGGCAGGAAACAGCAGCCCCAGTCATGGGCCTGGAGGCGGCTTTGGGGGCTCGGCCGCTGTGGAGCAGCACCATCTGTGGTTCCAGTGCTGGGTCTGGGGGCACTCCTGGGGGGTGGTGAGGGGTGAGTGGGACCCCTGGCACCAGAACACCCCTGAAACAGCATTCCTGGGAACTAGAACCTCAGAACAGCTATTGCCCGAAAACGTGACCCCCCTGAGCCCCACATTCCTGTACGCCAAGACCCCCTGCACCCCACTGCCTGGCCCTGGCACCACTCTCCAACCTCCCAGCCATCCCACTTCTCCCAGCCCCCAGCCTCTCCCTTTCCCTTGAATCTGGCATGCCGTGCCCATTCCCCAGTCCCCAAACCCTCCTTTCCTCAACACCGGTAATGCCCTGAACCCTGCTTCCCAGAGATCTCACCTCTCCCCACCCTTATCCCCACTTTTCCTTACCCTGGGACCCCCCTGAATTGCAATTCCCAGCACCAGGAACCCTGAACCAGAATTCAAGAGCACCAAGATTGCCTGATACACCGTTCCTTGCACAGAACAACCCTGAACCCCCTTTCCTGGCCACTCCATCTCTCCAGCCTCCAGACCTGTCTTTTCCTTCATCCTGGGACCCCCTGCACCCCCATTCCTGCCTTTCTCCTTTCCTTAACACTGGGGACTCCCTTAGCTGCCCTTCCCAGCTGTCCTGGCTCTCTCTAACCCATGACTCACCTTTGCACGACACCCCTTGAACCTCCCATCCTACTTCTCCTAATCCCTGTACACCCTATTTCCTTGACCTTGGGACTGCTCTGAATCCTCTTTCCTGTGCACTGGACCCATCCCCCTGCACCCCCAGCCCCGGTACTGACAACCCCTGCACCAACTTCTCCACAGCGGGTCCCCCTGAACGCTCCTATATGTCACCGGGATCCCTATCCTGCACCTTATCCTCCACTAATACCCCCCTTCACGCCCTTTCCTGGCCATCCCATTGTCACTAGTCCCCAGCCTTTCCCTTTTCCTTGACTCTGGGACCTGGATCCCCGTTCCTGCCTTTCCCAGCCTCCAGGCCCCCTGTTCTTTCACACTGAGGACCTCCAGGTCATCCATTCCTGGCTAACCTGGGTCTCCCCACCCTGTGACTCCCCTTTCCTTGAAACTGGGGAATACTGGACAACCTTTCCTGGGCACAAGAACACCCTGGAATCCCCTTTACAAGATCCTGCACCCCCTTGTGAGAAACAATGCTCACTTTTAAAATTTTAAAGGTTTATTAAACCTTAACAAAACACAACAAAGGACTGAGTAAGGAAAAAGGACAACACTAAGAGCATACGATTATCTCCCATGTGCTCCTGTACAGAACACCCTTCCCTATTCCCCATGTGTGCCCTCCTTCCGCGAGTCTTCCACAGCCCAGGCTGTCTGCTGGCGGCGATATCGACGGGGCAAGGGGACATGGGGGGAACAGAAGATGCCTAGACAACAAATCACAATAACATAATTATACATTGATAACATATACACAATATTCATATCTTAATTGCAAGAGCAAACTATGTTACTCATCTATAACACCCTTGAAACCATCTTCCCAGCAACGCATACACTATGCACCCCCTTATCCTGCACCAATCGCCCTTGGCACCCTCTTTCCCGAGCATCCAAACGCTCCCCACCCCCAGCCTCCGCTTTCCTTGGCTCCTCCTAAGTCCCTGTGTTCCCCCAGTTCCCCATCCCCAGCCCCCCTTTTCCTTGGCTCTGGGACCCCCAGACCTCCTAAATCCCTGTGTTCCCCCAGTTCCCCACTCCCTGCCCTCCCTGGGGTGAGGCTGGGAATGTGGAATGTGGGAATTTGGGAGAGGAATTCAGAACTGCAGAGCACCGGGATGGGGTTTCTCCTTTCCCCTCCTCACCATCCCGTGCTTCCCAGAGCCAGAATCTGGCTGGAATTTCAAGGTGGCGTTGGGTCACTGTGTCTGTCATCACTGCCAGCATCATCGTCCTAATCGGAGCTGGTGTCCGGGTGACACCCTGAGTCGTGTTGGAAAGGCAGCTCCAGGAGCATTCAGAGGATCTCTCACCTTAGGTGCTGGTCCTACTTCAGGTTTTCTATCCTTGTTTAAACCCTATGAATTGCCAGCCCAGCCCCACAGATCCCATCCCTGCCCCACGAATCCTCATCACAGCCCAACAGATCCCATCCCATTCCCACAGACCCCTGTCAGAGACTGAAATATGACTTAAACATTTTCATGAAGGACTTTTGCCTGTTGTAGCAAAACTATTACAAAAGCTGCGGTGACAACCACCACACCCCAACAGGCCTCCTGACTTAAGCCCTGCGGCAGTTCACTCATGAAGATAAGATAAAGTATCAACTTAGGGCTGGAGACATTCACAGAGCACAAGCTTAACACCTTCAGGGTGCAGATCACAGCCCCAGAGCTAAAAGCTGCCAGACTCGAACAGGCCCTAGCACCACAGTGATATAAGGAACTTAAAATTAAATTTATAATTTGCTGTACAGTCAAGTATGTTAAAAACAGATAGTTCTTGCTTCACCACAAGAGGACTTTGCTTATTTGCTACCATAAACAAGACTTTGTGTATTTGTTTAAAACTGATAAGTAGGAAAAAACTGGATCTGTAGTTTGGACTATGGCCAGAAGCCTCTACAGCCAGCTACCCAGAGAGCACGCACAAAGACCAGGTTCATCCAACGCACACCCCGGGAAAGACTGCTTTTACCCCATTTACTTTGAGACATTAATTTGGAAGAATTAAGAATTTTAGGAAAGTTAAGATGATAGTTAAATTAGATGTTGCTGACTCAGCGGAAGTAGATAAATAGGCTTTGTTCATAGTTAACAGTAGCTGGATCTTAGATAAGATATCCAGGATCTATTAACTCATTGCTTGCCAACTTTATGTTTGGGTAGCTGTGCTTATAATGAAAAACAGAATGTGATAAACAGATTTCAAGGACACAAAACAGTTGCAGACTTCCCATACTTTAGGAATCCATTAAGCACAGGAAAACGGCAAGGATTCATTTGTCATGTATGCATTAGAAAAGTAGAAACGAGGAAGACTTATTTTACTTCTTCATTTTGGAGACCCCTCCCCAAAATGGACCCCCGACTCATTTCAGGGAACAGAACTACACATGCTTAATAGCCTTTCTGCCAATTAGCATATGAAGCGGAGCAGAGGAAGTGACAGGGATATGAATGTGCATTCAAATTTTGTGTATTCAAGACTTCTGTAAATAAAAAGGCTTTGTAATACCTGAAATGAACATGGTGTATGCCTTTATTAATGTTCAGCTCTTTATTAAAAAGATCAGCTGGGCAGGGGGCATGACACAGAGCTCACCCCCGCTATTGTAGCTTTTTCCAGATGGCCAAAGGGAGAAGGTGTGCAGAGCGTGTCCCTGAAGCCTTTGTGGCACACTGCTAGCTGAAGGGGTGAAGAGGTGTCCAGTCTGTAGTTCAAGTTCCGATCAGCAACTTCTCCTCATACTTTCCTCCTGGCACACTGGTAGCTGAAGGGTGAGGGGATGTGCAGAGTTTGCTAACGTAGTCCTGCAGCAGCTGTCCCCTCTCCTTCCTTTCTGGTCACACCAGGAATAGTTGCTCCCTCGTTCCTGCTTCCCACAGCCCAGTCCAGTCCTCTCAGGCTATGGCGACATGTCAGACACAGACTAGGGATGGGGTTCCCCTTTCCCCAGCCAGTGCACCCATCCAGCCCCCTCCCCTGTGCCCAGCCTTCCCTTTAAGGGGTGTTTTCATCCCCAAAACCCCCTCCTATGATTCCTTGGGTTTCCCTAGTTTGCATCCTAGCCCTAGAATGGCAGTGTGGGTGGGGGTGTAGGTGATCTCCAGCAGCAATTAGCTAATTAACATTTCAATATCAGTACTTAGCTCAAGCCAGCAGTGTCCCAGTACTGCCATGGGAACCAGCAAGGCTGTTTTGTTCATAACAATACCTGTGATTTTTACAGTGCGCGTTAGGGAATTATCCCATGTACTGCCCGGCCGTTAGAATAAACATACACTTTCTAACTTTCAACTGTTAAAAAGTTTTTGTCCATCTCAGTTAGATATCGAGATCGATATTCATATTTTAGTAAATCAACTTCATCTGACGACCCCACCCAAGACCACCAGAAGATAGTACGCAAGCACAGAACGATAAGAAGCTGATTACCATACAAAGAGGGGGTAGGTGGGGTTAGGCTATGAATATGTATAGGCGATGTTGAAATCTTCACAAATATATATGAGCTTAAGGGTATATAAACACATCCTACAAGGGGAGTGACAGCCTTTTTGGGGTCCCCCCATGCCACGTCCAGCCCCCTGCATCCCCCCGATGATGCTGTGCGACCCCATATCCCCCACGCTGTCCTGGCCACAGCATCCCCCAAGAGGATCTTGGGGACTGTCCCCACGTCCCTCCCGCCCCATCCCCCAAGTACATCCACTGCTGCACCTGCGCTTGGTCCCCATTCCTGTTGTGGCTTCCCCATGTGACCAAGTGTGAGAGACAGTCCGAAATTTCCTTCACTTGCCTCACAATTGTCGCAAGGACCCTGAAGACCCCCGACAGGAGTTCCAGCTGGGCTGAGGTGGATGTGGACACTTGCCAAGTGACTGTTTGCAGGTGCGCTCGCTGTATTTCTACAGAACACTGCATTTGAACAGGTTGTGACAAGCGGTGGCTTGTCCCTGCATGCTGCACCTGCTTCACAGACCAAGGGGTCTCTTCACAATGGCCCATCAGTCCTCCCCACCTTCTGGCCAGATGCCACTGCCTTTGGCTAAAGACTATATAAACTGTAACTTTTTGGCATGAATTTGGGTAACCCCCATGCAGGAGGGCGAATCCATGTGGCTGGACCATTGAGGGTCTCGTCTCACATGGTGGTAGCTATTCCCCTTTCCCCTCTTTTCTATTTATTTCCTTTTCTGTCCCCTCTATTGCATTTGCTGTTGGTACCACAACAAAGGTGCATTTGTTGTGATTAAACTGATGATCTCCTGCTGTTTGCCTTTTTGCACTTTTGGGATTGGTTAATGAACCATCACGGCACCCCACATGAGCGGATCATGACACCAGGCAGGAGTTTCAGTCACCCCTTCACCTCCTCGGGAGGTGATGCTGGGAGGTGATGATGCTGTTCCTGCTGGGGACACGCTGGTGACACCTGTGGGACACTGCAGGTCACCTCTCAAAGAGACTGCATGGTCATGGTGGCTCCTGGAATCCCTCTGAAATGACAGTGCAGGGCCTGGGATGCTGCAGGTGCCAGTTTGGGGGCTGGGTGCTCGTTTTGGGGGGAGTGCAGGTGGGGGGGGGGGTGGTGTCTCCAGGGTGGCTCCCAAAGTCCACTCCCATTACCCCAAAGTCACCCTCAGCGCGTGCCTCAGATTCCCCCTTGCTCTGCACGGACCACCCAGAGCTGATGTCCTGAAATTGGATTTATTTTGAGGGGTTTTGGGGTTGGGGCTACTGTGGGCTGGTAGGCCAGGGTGTGGCTGGGCTGGTGGTCATCTGGGCTGGGGCTGTCCAGGCTGAGGGGCTGCAGACCAGAGTCCAGTTGTGATCCATGGGTCTGGTGTTCATCTGGACCAATGTCCAGCTCGATGCATCAGACCAACATCTGCTGGACCAGTGTCCATCCAGACTGGACTGGTGTCCATCTGGACCACTTTCCAACCTCTCCTGCCTCTATCCAGCCCAGGCTTCCTGGCTGGAGCCGCTCCTCACTGCAGAGTGGACAAGACCCACAGTCAGTCACAAGATGACCCTAAACCCCTTCCCACCAATCCCACCAGGCCACCCACCCGGAGCCCCAGTGGCACCGGTGTCCCCTGGAAGCTGGGCCAGCTCTGGATCTCCTGGAAGAGGGCATTGCCGGGGCAGTCGGTGCGGACGAGCTGGCGGTGGCCGCGGAGGGTGAAGCCTGGCCGGATGTGTCCAGAGCGGACAGCGCAGGGCAGGAGCTCATCCCGCACAAGGGCCAGCGTGTCGGGGTCCGGCAGCGTGCCCGTGAAGTTCCCGATGATGCCAACGCCAAAGCCTTGGGTGTTGTAGCCCTTGGTGTGGGCACCCACCCAGTGCCACCCCCGTCCCTCGTACAGGTACCCATCCGAGCCCACCACGAAGCTGCAAGGACACGATGGCAGTGAGGGGACAGTGGGGGACAACGGTGGGGACTGCAAAGGGACAGGGGTGGGGGCAGTGAGTGGACAGTGATGGGGACAATGCGGGGACAATGGTGGGGCTATGGGAGCTTATGGGGACAGAAGGGGAAATGGAAATGGGGACTGTGGGTCAGCAGGGATGGGGACTGTGAGGGGGCAGTGATGGGGACTGGAAAGGGACAGGGATGGGGACTGTGGGGGTAATGAAGACAGTGTGGGGACAAGGATGGGGACTGGGAAGGGACAGTGGTGGGGACTGCAGGGGGACAATGGTGGGGACTGCAAGGGGACAGTGGTGAGGACCGTGGAGGGGCAGTTATGGGGACCATGAAGGGGCAGTGGTAGAGACTGTGGAGGGACAATGGTGGGGGCCATGGGGGGACAGTGGTAGGGACTGTGGGGGGACAATGGTGGGGGCAGGGGGGAACAGTGTTGGGGACTGTGAGGGGACAATGACATGGACTGCAAGGGGACAGTGATGGGGACCACAGGGGATGACAGTGACCATGGGGGTTGACAGGGACCATGGGGAGACAATGACCAGCCCTATGGGGGGTGACAGGAACCAGTGGAGGTGACAGTGCCCAGAGGGGTACAATGACAGGATCCAGGGGGGTGATAGGGATTGTGGGGGTGACAGTGCCCACAGGGGTACAATGGCAGTCCCATGGGAGGTGACAAGGACTATGGGAGTGACAATGCCCACAGGGGTACAATTACAGGAACTGGGGGAGTGACAGGGACTGTGGTGGATGACAAGGACTGAAGGAGATGATGGAAATTACAGAGGATGACATGGCCCATGGAAGGTGGGACCCAATGGAGGTGGCAGTCCCCACAGAGGTACAATGACTGCTCCCACAGGGGCTGCCAGGGCCCGTGGCAGGTGCCATTGGCCCGGGGAGGTGACAGTGACCTGTAGCCAATGTCATCCCAGCCGCGGGTGTCCTGGTGGAAGCGCTGCATGTTTCTCATGTCGCGGGCGCAGGCACCGAAGGTCCGGCAGGGCTGCGATGGCTCCAGGGTGTGGTGCAGGAACACTGAGCCCAGCGGGGGCTGCAGCAGGGCCGGGCTGCCTCGGTAGGGACGGGCACCCCACAGGCAGCGCGGCACAATGGCTGGGCACTCTGTGGGGACAACAGGGGGGAGGTGTCCCCTGAGATCTTGGGGACATGGCAGAGGCCGTGGGGGGACATGGGGCTTGATGGGGACGCAGTAGAGTCCACAAAGGGACAAGGGGCTCTATGGGCCCCTGGGGACATGGCATAGGCCATATGGGGACAAGGAGCTCCTTGGGGACATGGTAGAGTCCACCAGGGGATGAGGGACTTGACAGGTCCTTGGGAACATAGCAGAGGCCACGTGGGGACATAAGGCTTGAAGGGGACACAGTAAAGACCACTAGGGGACAAGGGGCTGGATATGTCCCTGTATAACCATTGGGGATATGGCAGAGGCCGTGTGGGGACAAGGGGCTTGATAAGTACTTGGGGTCACGGCAGAGTCTGTGTGGAGATATAGGGAGTCATAATCTTTGTCTAGAAGGTGACAATGCCCATTTAGGGGGTAACAATCCCTGTTTGAGGGGTGACACCCCCGTTTGGGGGTAACAATCCCTGTCTGGGAGGTAACAACTACTGTTTAGGGGGTGACAACTCCGTTTGGGGGGGACAATGCCCATTTGAGCAGTGACAATCTGTATTTGGGAGGTCACAAAGCCCATTTGTGAGGTGGCAATCCCTGTTTAGAGGATGACAACCCCTGTCTGGGAGGTGTCAACCCCATTTAGGAGATGCCACCCCACCCGTACCCACGTAGCGCTCGCTGAACTCCCGCGCCGCCCTACGAGCCACGGCCACCACCTCCTGTGTCCCCACGTCCCTCAGGAGCTCCGAGGTGGGTGACAGCGTCCTCAGCAGCTCCAAAACTGCTGCCACCTCCTTCTCCAGTTGTCCCTGTCCCACCAATGCCCGAAAAGCTCGGCGCCGGTAACTGCTGGGGGGTCTCCCCACTTCTGAGCCATTCCTAGTCCCGTAGTAGCCCCGAAGCAGTTCGGCCACCGAGAGGGGTCCCCGGGCCAGCTGTGCCCCCAGGACCGCCCCATCAATGGCCCCGATGGCCACAGGGTCGGGGACAGGGGACGGGGGACCCCTCAGGGTGTAATTCTGGGGGTTCTCCACGTCGTCCCAGCAGCCGCCGGGTCCCAGCGCGGTGGCGTTGTTGTCACCCCCCTGCACCAGCAGGAAGGATGTCCCCAAAGCCTCGGTGATGGTGACAGCCAAGAGGGGGTCGGCGGGCGGGTTGAGGGTGGGGAGGGGTCGCCCAAACCCGCCAGATCTCAGCCCCGCCTCGATGCCGGCCAGGAGGGGACCGAGCGCCACCGTGGAGCCGTCGGGGGCCAGCACCGCCCCCAGCTCCGGTGTCGCCGGGTCGTGGCGGAGGAGCTCGGTCAGGAGCTGCCACTGGCCCGGGGTGAGAGCCGGGGGGCGTCCGGGGTGCCCGGGGGGCTCGCCCAGCACCGCCCGGCACCCCGGGGTGCTGCAGACCCCCAGCCCCCTCCCCAAGGCCGCGGCGGTGCCGGGGGAGCCGCCCCGGGCCGGGGACTCGAGGGCGTCCAGGATGTCGAGCACCGAGTCCATGTGGCGTGGGGGCACAACTGGGGACACGGCTAGGGACGTGCCTAGGGGAACAGGGGGTAGGGGGTGAGGGGGGTAAGGGGTGGGGAGGGGGTTGGAGGAGGGGGAGGCACTCAAAAATGTGCCACAAGCAAGGGGAGGGCACCCCAAATAGGGGAGAAAGGACCCAAACCAGGGGGAAAGAACCCAAAATAGGGCTAAAGGACACAAAAGAGGTGGAAAGGACTAAAAGAAGGGGGAAAGGACTCAAAATAGGAGGAAAGGACCCAAAATAAGGGGGAAAGGATCCAAAAGAGAGAGAAAGGATTCAAGCCAGGGAAAGGACCCAAAATAGGAGGGAACAGACCCAAAAGAGAGAGGAACAACCCAAAATCAGAGGAAAAAAGGTGTCCTGGGATGTTGTGGGATGTCATGGTGTGTCCTTACCTCTACCGGGGTGGGCGCAGACGCTCAGTGCCAGGAGCAGCCACGGAAACATCCTGCAGGACATGGCGACACCTTGAGGGACACGGGGACACCCTGTGGGCCAGGGGGCCACCCTGCAGGACATGGGGACACCCTGTGGGACTCAGGAACCTCCTGCAGGACACGGCCCCAGGGCCTCGGGGACTTTGACCCCACAGGGACACATGGGAGAGGGACAGGGACACATGGGGGGGATGGGGACACACGGGGAGGAGGGGACACAACACCAGCAGGACACACATCAGGGACAATGTTGCCACACCTGTGGGGATGCTGCCACTATGAGATGTCAGCGCATGAAGCGATCAGGATGTGTCAGGGGACACTGTCACCAGTTCATGTGACCCCCTGGGTGATACTCACCCTTGTGCTGTCCCCAGCCTGTTCCTAGTGGCAGCTGGGGTCCCCTGGGTGCAGTGGCTCTGGGACACCCTGATGGCTGTCACCTGCATCCGGGCCACTTGTCACCAGCTGAACAAGTTCCCTGTCCCGCTCTAGTGGGTAGTGACATTCAGCTGGGACACCATGGTGGTGACTGTGGGGACATGGTGGCAGGAACTCCATCAGGCAGTGCTTCTGTGTGGTCGAGATGAAGATGCTGGTGGCACTGTGGTGGCGCTGACACTGTCCCAGTTCATGACCCCACCCATGTCCATGTCCCCCATGTCCCCATCCATGGCCATGTCCCCCCATGTCATTGTTGCTCACCCATGCCTTTGTTCAACATCTTTATTTTTGCCCCAGTTTCAGGGGTTTCAAAGGGATGAATACAAATGAAAAAAAATCAAGGCTAAACCAAAAGGATTTATGTGTCTTTGCCAACTGAGCATCCACGTGCTTACATGGGTGGAAGAACCTTTTTAGGAGGGGTTTCCATCCCACTGTCTCCAAAATTGTGAGGTTTGCCCCAGCACATCCCCATTTGGCTGTGGAAAATGCCTGTGGGCCAGAGAGAATTAAAACAATGGATTTTTTTTTGAAAAGACCTCCAAGGTCATCCAGTGTTGCTTGATGCCACCAGAAGATGCAAAAGGTGAGATTTTTCTGGGGACAAATCTGCTCTCTACAATGGACTTCTGATTGTCTGTGGATGTGTCCAGGTACCCACAGGGAGCCCAGGAAGATGTGGAGGACCCCAGTCAGGGATCTTCCCAACACAGATCACCAGGACCAGAGATCACCAGCTCATCGTGAAGCTCTTCCCACACTCTCCATGCTTGTAAGGTCTTTCCCCAGTGTGGATTCTCCAGTGGTAGATTAGAGCTCAGCTCTGGTTGAAGCTCTTCACACATTCCAAGCACTTGTGGGGCTTCTCCCTGCCATGAAGCTGCTCATGGATACCCAGCTCTGAGCTCTGGCCTATCTCCAGCTGTGTTTCTGGCCCAGGGTGGGTCTTTCTTCCTCACAGATCCTGGGGCTGGGTTTGCAGCCCCTCCTCATAAAGGATCTCTGGGGCTTTTCCTCCCTTTTGGATTCCTGCGATATGGAGCTGGTCAAAACAGCCTCTTCCATGAGGTTCTGCTGTGGGGATTTGTCCTCTCTGGTCTCCATCCTCCGCCTGAGGGAGGAAGGACAAGGAGAGGATGGGATTTGCCTCCATGCCGGAGGGAAGGGGAAGGAGATTCCCCCAATCCATCTCTGGCAGGATGGCGTTGGCAGCAGGGCTGTCCTGCAGCCGGGGGCCGTGCTGGGCTGGGACATTGTAAGAGACGGTCTGAAGTTCTCCTCATTTTTGCCTCACGATCGTTGTAATGGCAGAGACTAAGGTCCTGAACCCCGACTGGAGTTCTGGCCTGGCTGCAGTGGATGTTTGTCAAGTGATTGTTTGCAGGTTCGTTTGCTGTGTTGCCACACTACACTGCTTCAAGCAGGGCCTGGCAAGGAGCTGTTTGCTCCATACGCTTACACCTGCTTTGTGATCCCCGCTCATCACCATCAATTAATTAATTAATATCCCATGAATTTTCCCACCTCTTGGCCAAATGAACTTTCTGGGGTAACTTTGATGATCTCCTGCAGAAGATCCCTCATCTGCCTCACGACCACCATGGGGACAGAGATTGAAGCTCCCTCCCAAGAACTGAGACTGAGACCCCTATAATCCTAACACAGGGGCACTAGTCTGACTGAAGCGGGATGTTTTCCAAATGGTGCCTGCAGGTGTTTGCTGCACCAAGAAAACAATGAGTCTCACTCATTGCTGAAATTTTGTCCTGCTTTGGAACATGGACTGTCTGTACCCGTTTTTCAATAGACTCATTTCCCCATTACCTGTTCCCCCCACTTGGCAGAGGACTATAAAAGACCCCTAAGTTAACCAAGACTTCGGTGAACCCCCACAGACAATGGCGAATCTATGTGGCTGGACCACTGAGGATTTAGTCTCTCCGTTTGGTAGCTGTATCCCTCTTCCCCCTCTTTCTCTCTCTCTCTATCTTTTCTTTTCTTTCTGACTCCTCTATCACATTTGCTGTGGGCACTGAATAAAAGGTGCATTTGTTGTGATTAAACTGATGGTCTCCTGCTGTTTGCCTTTTGCACTTTTGAGATCGGTAAAACGAACCATCACGACACCCCACCTGTCCTAGCGGATCGTGACAGAGATGGAGCAGGAGAGAGGGGGAAAGGGGCAGTGGCTTCTTCCTCACCTGCCTGAGTGTGCCGACATCTTCCTCCTCCTCGCGGTCGCCTCCCCCTCTATCCGGCCAAGGTTTGGGAATGGGAAATCCGGGTTCGCGGAGGAGAAACAAGAGCGTGTCGGGTTTGATGGTCCCGGCTGCGCAAGTTTAGTCGGACAAACGACCACCCCTTTCAGCCCCGGGGGCCTGGACCCCGCTCATCTCCAGCCTCCCCCACCCTTTCTGTCTACCGGGCGTCCCCCGGCCCCGGGATCGCCCCTCTGCGCTCTCCCCATTCCGAGCTCTCCACCCCGGCTCTGTCCGGGGAATCCTCAACACCAACATCGCCCCGTCCCCGCCGGTACCTGGGACCGCCTAGATACCCCCAGAGTGGAATGTGCAGCTCAGCTTTGGGGTCCTGCAAAATCCAAACATCCCCCGCACCGCAAAAAAAATCCTCCCGGAGACCCCCCGATGGGCCAGGGAACCGCGCGGCTTCCTGCTGCTGCGCCTCCTCCTCCTCTCCGTCCTTCTCCTATTGCTGCTCCTGCTCTTCCTCCCGCTCCTGTTTTTCCTCTTCCTCCTCTTCTCTCCCTCCGCTCCCAGCCCGGCCCGGGCGGTGCCGACCCGCAGGAGCAGCCGCTCTCTGTCCTGAGGGGGCTGTAAAGTGACCCAGCCCCGCCCGGCACTGGGAGGGCACTGGGAGCACTGGGAGGGCACTGGGAGCACTGGGAGGGAACTGGGAGCGCTCTCCCTCCCGGCACCGCTCTGACTGGGAGCACTGGGAGGGAACTGGGAGCACTGGGAGGGAACTGGGAGCGCTCTCCCTCCCAGCACCGCCCTTACTGGGAGCACTGGGAGGGAACTGGGAGCGCTTTCCCTCCCGGCACCGCCCTTACTGGGAGCACTGGGAGGGAACTGGGAGCACTTTCCCTCCCGGCACCGCTCTGACTGGGAGCACTGGGAGGGAACTGGGAGCACTGGGAGGGAACTGGGAGCGCTGGGAGGGAACTGGGAGCGCTCTCCCTCCCAGCACCGCTCTGACTGGAAGCACTGGGAGGGAACTGGGAGCGCTCTCCCTCCCAGCACCGCTCTGATTCGGGAAGATTATGCTCCCCCTGTGTCCAGCACTGAATAAAATACGTACCTACTTTACAACCCTTAGTTGTGGAGTTATTACCGCAAATCATTTTGGCGAGCCAGGCAGGAGGTTTCTGTCTGTCTGCAAGAATTGTGCTAAGGAACGGAGGAATCCAGGCATGCCCTGGGAGTTTCCCGGAGGAGGAATCTGACCTTGGAGGAATCTGCAGCTACAAATAAGACCCACTGGCATGTGGGCCGAACGGTATGTATCAACTTTAAGAGGGTTGTAAGACATACGTACACAAGGTTGAAGGGGGTTGGTAAATTGCAGAAGACATTCTGCGTGCAACATAGTCCCTAGGAAGGTGAAAACTTGCAAGCTCCTGGCTGATAGTGCAGCTGGGGAAAAGATTTGATACCAGCAGGATCCGCATCACTCCTCCATCCCCGCTGGTATAGGGGAAGAGGAGGGAGGAGGGGGAGGATGGTGAAGGAATTCGCTGATTGATAGTACAGCCGCGAAGCGATCCTAGAATGTGGATCGAGTGGATTCCTGCTCCCACATGATTGGAGCTACAAAAGGTAGTGTGTGTTTTAAGTTTCGATACTGGGAGAGTGGTGAAAGCAGGAGTGAGTGAGGCATGTCTGGGGAACAGAGTGAGAGGGGAGTTAGCTACCCCGCTTTAATCCTTGGGTAATTGTGCAGCATGTGGTGCAAGTAGTGGTTTTTATTAACAAAAACGTAAATAAGAAGTGTGGTATGCTTTGCATTTGAGCGTGGGTATCAGCTCAAGAGATGGGCATTTGGGGCTCTTAAGATCACACAGGTTCCTAGTTGCTGACATCTGTAGTTTTGGAGAAATCCTGCATGTTTGGAAATGTGGAGGTCGGGACGCCACTGTCAGCCAGGGCAAGTGGCCGCAATTGGAGGCCACTTTCCATGGGAAAAAGAAGTCATTTCCCCAAGCTCTGGGTATCTGCTCAGAGGTGGCATTTGGGGCTCTAAGATCAGACAGGTTGCTTATTGCTGCCACCTGTCTTTTTGGAGAAATCCTGCAAAAATTGGAAATGTGGAGGTTGGGACACCACTGTCAGCCAGGGCGGGTGGCCGCAATTGGCGGCCATTTCCCATGGGAAAAAGACGTCATTTCCCAGGCTCTGGGTGTGAAGGATGAACATCTGGAGTTGCTATATGAAAAGTTATGGTTATATTCTGGAGGGAAGAAAGAGTCCATCCTGTTGATTTGGTAACCTATTCTGAGGGTAGAAAGTGGAGGTGGGGGTGATGGAGGCCTGTCTGTATGGGAAACCTCTGCTCCTAAAGTCAGTTACCTGAGACCTTGTAACTGGCGTAAATTGGAATTTGATAAATGGAAACATCTGGTTGTCCAGGGCCATGGTATTGAAAATTTTGAGAACGATGATATCAGCAATACCTGGATCAGGCAATATAGGGGAAACTAATAACTGCACTACAGCTGAGAGCCAATATTTACCCAAGAGAATTCCTGGTTAGGGGTAGGTATGAGGCCTTCACTGCGGTGCAAATTTTGAGACTGTCGCACACATTGTTGGGAATTGTCCAATTACTCAAGACGCCAGGATCAAAAGACACAATACCATCTGTGACATGCTTAGCCAGGAGGCTAAGAGGGAGGATTGGACTGTTTTCCATGAACCACACCTGAGAGATGACTCGAATGAATTATTTAAACCAAACTTAATCTTTGTCAGAGGGACTAAGGCATTCGTTGTTGATGTGACAGTGAGATATGAGCACAACACCTCCTCTCTTAGGGCGGCTGCCGCAGGAAAAGCTAAAAAATATCAACAGCTTCATCTTCAAATCAAAGAACTGACAAATGCGGTAGATATTGTATATATCGGTTTCCCTATCGGGGCTAGGGGAAAGTGGCATAATAAGAACACTAAATTTCTTCTAGCCCTCGTAGATGACCTAAAACGAGGCTAGGGAGGTTTGCCTGGGCCCTGACATCCAGAGCTCTTGTTGCCTCTGTAGAGATTGTATGTATTTTTGTAAGTAAAGCTAGAACGATTGTATCCTCTTGATTAAATGAGCCCCTTCCCAGCGGTGGTAGCTGGACAGTGGAATCAGTCCAGGGGTGTGAGGGCTTCATTTTTCATACCACGTCTTGCCCATATTTGGGCTTTAAATTCTAATCTGGACAGGTGGACAGGCCACCTATCCTTAACCTGGAAAAAATACATATATATATATTTGTATATGTGTTTATTAAGTAGCCAAATGCCTCGTCATCTAATTAGTGACGCGCATGAATGGATGAACGAGATTCCCACTGTCCCTACCTACTATCCAGCGAAACCACAGCCAAGGGAACGGGCTTGGTGGAATCAGCGGGGAAAGAAGACCCTGTTGAGCTTGACTCTAGTCTGGCGCTGTGAAGAGACATGAGAGGTGTAGTGTTGCAGCATTTTTGAGAGAAAGAGGACATGAGTTATGAGATTTGAGCTACTCCAGTCTAGGCCTCAGATTTGGGCCTTGAGGCCTTCAAGCTTCTGACGCAGTTAGAAATTCAGAGCTTGTGGCGCAGATAGAAAATGTCTTAAGGTGTGAGGGGGACCACTGGGTTGTCTGGGTGTGAATTAGTATAGGTTTTATAATGTAAGGTGTAGGCCGTTTTAAGGAAAAGGTAAACAATGTTAGCCTACCAATCAGAGTGTCTTTGTTTTTGTAAACTATGTAGAAGCTTATATAAACTACCACCTTATCTTGAATAAAGGGAGAACGCTTGATTAACCACATTGGTTTGAACCTGCGTTTGTCTTGTCCAGCTTTCCGTTTTTCTGAGATTCCCTGGCTTCAGTGTAGAATAAGTGGGAGGCCGGGCGCGCGCTCGGAAGTGTGGTGCAATCCGCCCATCGGCGTCCCGGCCATCGGTGAAATACCACTACTCTGATAGTTTTTTCACTGACCTGGTGAGGTGTGGGGGTGACCCGAGGGGGGCTCTCGCTTCTGGTGCCAAGCGGCCGGCGCGCGCTGGCCGCAACCCCCTCTAGGGACAGTGGCAGGTGGGGAGTTTGACTGGGGCGGTACACCTGTCAAAGCGTAACGCAGGTGTCCTAAGGTGAGCTCAGGGAGGATGGAAACTTCCCGCGGAGCAGAAGGGCAAAAGCTCGCTTGATCTTGATTTTCAGTACGAATACAGACCGTGAAAGCGGGGCCTCACGATCCTTCTGGCTGTCGAGAGTTTAGCTGAAGAATGGCTGCGCAGCAAGAGACACGAAAAAGTTAAGTTGATGAGAGTGTGAGAATACGTGACTTGTAGCATGAAAACTATGACCTTGAGAAACAGATGTCTTCTAACAACCTTCAGAAAGACATCTCCTAACAACCCTGAGTATACAGATGTCTTGATAAAAATGAAATATTGCTTGGTATGCAAAAAAGTAATCAAGTATAAAGAAGCAGTAACCGCAAGGCTTATCGCAAAGAGATATATGTGTTAATAGAAAGGTAACCAATCCTGAGCTTCGCTTTTGCAATATGTATGAACTAATTAGTGCTTGTATAAAGAAACTGTAATCAACTCCAATAAACTGAAAACTTGTTGATCATGATACCATGAACTTGTTTTCCCGCGACGATCTCACCAACATCTGGCTTTTTGGGTTTTAAGCAGGAGGTGTCAGAAAAGTTATCTTCCTCACTGTCCTGGTTCAGGGCAAATTTGGAAAAGAACCCCAAGAGGGGTTCCTCTAGGAAACAGATTCAATCGGCCCCTCCCTCCAACTGGTTCGGGAAAAAAATCACCCTTTGGTGGAAAATGGAAAAAACTCTTTATTAAGCAAGAAAATCTAAAGAATATTAAACAATAAAACTTCTTGCTGCTCCAAAAGAGAGATAAACTCAGAAAGTCCCCTCCCTGGCCTGCAGTTCGGCTCACTCAGTCCCTTATCGGTCCCTCCGGCACTGGAAATGCTGCGGCCCAGGCCGGGCCTGGTGGGCCACAGGTGTGAGCTGCCAGGGCTCTTCTGGGTGCTCAGTCCAGAGCAGGTCTGAGCAGGTCTGAAGAAAAGGAAAAGCCACAGTCCAGGGAACTTCTTTGCTGCAGCTAGCTAAAACTAACTAAAGCAAAGGACAGCTCTGAGGGTAAGTGAGCCGAAGCAGGGTATTTTCCTGGCGGATGGGTTTAGTCTCCACAAGCTGGTGGCCAAGCTGGCAGAGACCACAGGGTACCCTCCTGATCCAAGGGGATCTTCACCATCACTCCCTTGGATCCTCACTCTTCCCCAAAAGGTTGGGGCATCCCCTGAGGGTACCCTCCACTTATCAGAAGGTGCTTTTCCAGTCTCTCTCATACCCAAAGCTGGGCTCTCCCCCAAAGGCTGGGGTATCCCATGAGGGCTGAGAGAGTAGAAAAGACAAGAATAGGGCAGAAATTTTCCATGAAACAACAGCACGTTCATAAGAATAGAGGAGAATCTAATACTATGCAAGAAGCCCCTGACACCCATGCACCTCGTTGAAATTTAGCTGCGTTGGGATCCTCCCCTGTAAGTTCCCCTGTGGCTTCTGTGAAGCTCCCTGCACCCTCTGTCCCTCGGACTTCCCAAAACCCTACCCTATCCTCCCTTGGGGATGGTGTTGGCCACAGCACCCCAAGCACCCCGCTGGACACTGTTCAGAC